CTGCAACAGAAAGTTGAAAACGCAGAAAAACAACTTGTTATGACAAATTTTTCTTCTTCATTGGTATTGTGTTAGACTGGGCTTTTGTAATCTCATTTTTCAAAAATTCCCAAGCTTCTTGAGTTGTTTTTCCCTTGAGGATTCTCATGCATGGAATTTTTCCCAAGCTCTCTCTAATTTTATTGAAATTAGCTCTCTTAAAGTCCAAGACTCTAGTTTCACTTTGTTCTACTACTTGTGTTTGCATAATATTGAATTCCAATTAACTTTTAATTTTTGAAATAAAAATATTAAAAACATAGTAACAATGCATATATGTGAATAGGCTACTTTATTCCCAACCAAGTCTTGTGCTTTAGTCATTTGCTTCTGATGTTCTCTCAATTTCCTGGCTGTAGTGGAACAGATTATGTCACCAAGCATGAAAGAATAAACAACTGAAATAGCAATGATAGAATTTGCTCCTAAAGTGAATGGAATCATTTAGAAAAAGCTGACAGTATCTAGGACATTTCTAACATCTTTTCACTTATCCTTTCATTCCTCATTGATAATAGAATAGCAGAGATCCTTTTTGGTTTCTGCAGTAATGATATTAAAATGTACATTTTTTGGTCTTTAGGGAAAAGAATTCTAAAGTTTTTTCCTATCACCAGACTTTGCTTCCTGTCTCAGTTATAAAATATTTTTCTTATATCAAAAAGCATATACAATAATTTTGAGTGAGAATATTATTCATCTTTTCACAATCTATTTTTGTTGAAATATATTGGACAAAAAATGCAACAGGATTTTGATCTGAGATAATGTGCCAGAAAAATGACAGCTATTGCCAATTAGAACGAAGTTATTTTCTTCCTATGGTCCAGAGAATCAATATTTCTTACCAGTCCTTGGTGGTTTTTCTATTTCAGATCACTCTGAATGGGGTTGCTTTCTTTAAAACCCAATTACCCGAGAATATATTTCACTGTGGTAAATCTTATACAGTGGACCTATTTTTACACCATAATATCCATCAACAATATTTAGTTTCATAAATTTTTAGATTGTTATCTTCAAGGTCTGGTATCAAATTTGAAACTATAATAGCTTCTAAATCAGATAAATAAATTAAGTATTTAATTTAAATGATCCCTTGTTTATTTAATCCTAGGTATTAAGACGCTCTTGTGGCAGTTTAGAAACTGTTCTGTTGCATGAGTACCAAGCAAATTATAAAATGATGGTTCAAGTCCTAAAACAAATTATCTTTCATATCTTTATGATATGCACTTATTTAACAGTATGTTGCTCTTCTCAATGGTTTTCTTTGAACTTTAAGGGTGAATTTTCTAAAGCATGGGTGATCGTTGCAATATCTCTCTCTCCTTACATTTCTTGAATAAGTATACTTAGCTTTGTTCTGTTATTTTTCCCTACAATCTGTCTAGCCGCCCTTTTACTGCCGTGATGTTGCTGAGATGTATGAAAACATTCTTCATAAACCTCTCCATTTAAGGCCAGGTGTCAGTCTTACAGCTTGGTCTATTCTGGAAGAACTCTTGGAGAAGGAAAGACAGAACAGACTAGGATCTAAAGAAGACTTTGTATGTAAAATACCTGATTTTAAATCAAGTAGTAAAGAAAAAACATTTTTAAAAATTGATTTGTTACTATGTGAAATGCAAATATTTGTTCCTTTTTATAAATATTATAGGTGATCTGAAAAATTTAAATAATCAAATTTGGGTACTGCATTTCATTCCAGCATACAGAATATATTTATTTATTAAATGTATTTGCCATCTATCTCACTACAATGTGACTCTGAAGATTAACCCAATTTTTATTGCTTTGGATGGGATTTAAGCATAATTAATTTTCTTTGAATCAAGAGTTAAACAACATGAGGTGTTGCCAGATAAAAATGTTTATGTGGGTTTTTAACAATTAAACAATTTATAGAATGTTGCCCATCTTCATTATAATTGTGTTTCTTATAGATACAGAGCTTTTATGGTACTGAATTTCATATAGTGTACATACTCAGTACTTCCTTTATGCACACAGTCTGATCCTCTCACTTAAAGATAAATTAACCATTGTTTAACATCCTGGGAACCATGACCAACCAGGAAGGGCATGGAACTGGTGGAAGCACTGACATTCTTCAGAATACTGCCCGTTTAAAATTCACAAACTCAGACTCCTGCCTTCTTTAAGCCAAGCAGTATCTCTCCCTTTCTCAAGAAGTAACTATAACCTCCCCATACTCATAGTGCAATGGAAGCCATGGGCTCCTGATAACCATACAAACAACACCTATGATATGCAAACGGAAGTTACCTGACAATAAAAGCCTAGGCAACCTCCCCACCAGACCATCAGACATGAGATCCAAGAGCTTTGGGCATTCTCTGGTGGGCAGCAGTGGGGTTAGCAGCAGCTCTAGCTTTTCCTTCTGTCCTGATATTCATGCACATATAAGCATTCACCTCTATTTACTGGTGGAGGAGTACTTCTGATTACTATAAGGGTCTCATAATAACTCATCACTACACTCTCTTCCCTTGAAGTTTGTTTTATCAGAAATGTGACATTTAGCTTTATGTTTCATTTTTTAAAACACTTAAGTATATACTTGTTTAAACAGTCAGCGACTCTAAAAAAATATCTGGGCCATTTAATTTTTCTTCTGATTCTGCTTGCAAATTGCTTCTTTTTCTTCTTTTCTAAATTTATCTGTTATAAGAATAAACTATTTATAAAATTGAAATTATACAGTGAACAGAAAGTTACATGAGAAAGTATTAAAGCAAGTTATTGTAAGACAATTATGTCCATCATATCCTTCCTTTTTGTACTCTGGCATTGTTGATAATGAATAGCACATCAGGACAAATTAACATTTACAGAGTATTAGAAGCACAGTTTATTTTAAGGATACATGATTCTGTCCCTATAACTTCAAAAATTAACACTGATGTGTTAATACACTGTTACCCAAATGTTTAATATCATACATAGGAAATTCAGCACAAGATCCATAATTTTTTGGAACCTGATTTTAATCAGAACAGGAATATTTGTTAACTTTTTGTGGATAACTCCAGTTTTCTGACACATTTAAGACAAATTATATATCTTATATTAACCTCCATTTTGTATTTCAGGTTGAAATTCAAAGGCATCCGTTCTTTGAATCTGTCAGTTGGAATGACCTCTTACAAAAAAAGATTCCGCCACCATTTAATCCTAATGTGGTAGGTCCAATTCCTATTCCTTATTCATTAAGTCATAGCTAGGATGAAGGAAAAAAAATCAGGAAAGGAAGGGATGAGTAAAAACTGATATTATTTTGCATAATCTCAAGGAATTATTCCTTGATTGTTGCATAATCTCTAGAAACAAACAAGTGTCTATCTATGGCAGTATGTTGTGCATATTGGACTGTATCCAGATACAGCCATTTATTGATAGAATCAGAATGAATGAATTCCTTTCTCCACTGCCTTCAGAGGAAATAACTGGAAATCTCATTGTACAAGTGGAGGGTTCACTGCTTAACAAGATAGACTATAGCCGGGATGGCGAGCCTATGGCATGCATGCCACAGGGGACACACTGGCCAGTTGAGTTTTTTACAGCCATTTTTCACCCTCCCCAGGCTCCAGAGGCCTGGGAAGGGTGAAAACAGTCTCCCTGCCCCAGAGGCACTATGGAGGCTTCAGGAGCTTCCAGCTTCCGGAGCGCACAAAACCGCCTCTACGGGCAAACCGAAAGTTTAGGAATGGACTTCCAGTTTGCTCATAGGGCCAGCTTAAGCCCTTCGGAGCCTTCAGGGACCTTCCAGAGGCTTCACTGAAGACTCCGGAGGACGGAAAATGACCCAACAGGCAAACCGGAAGTCACTTCAGCTCCTGAAGCCTCCAGAGGGCCTCCGGGTGGGGGGGAGGCTGTTTTTGCCCTCCCCAGGCTCCTATAAAGCCTCTGGAGCCTGGGGAGGGCAAAAAAGCATGAAAAAAATGGGGGGGATCGCCTGCCATGCATGCATGCACGCTGGGGGTGTCGCACATTGCATTATGGGTACAGCACACCCACGCACGACCCCCCTGCGCTCCCCCCGCTTATGGCACGCGAGCCAAAGGTTTGCAATCGCTGGACTATAGTATCTGTATATGCTAAACTATTTTGTTGATTTTTAAAAAAAAATCATTTTAAATTGATAATATATGGAAATATAGGCCTCTTCCTTGCAATATTTTACCTAAGCTTTATTTTCTAGTTTGGTCCAGATGACATCAGGAATTTTGATGCAACATTTACGGAAGAGATGGTACCCTGCTCCATTTGCATTTCTTCTGATTATAATATTGTAAATGCTAGTGTACTGGAAGCAGATGATGCATTCATTGGATTTTCTTATGCACCACCTTCTGAAGACTTATTTCATTAAGCTGAAGATTGGAACATTGGAAACTATCTCTAGAGTGATGAAATTATATGATTATAAACAGTTTCTGAAATATATGCTACAAGTGCCTAATTTGATCTGCTGAAGAATGAACTTTTTCTGCTGTATTATGAGGATAATGGGCATTTTGCATTCCATTTTTAGAATGTTAAATATGCTGCACAAATTTTTTTTTAACAATGCATTTAAGTAAAAGTTCCTAACCTTGAAACTTTTTAAACAAAGATAATAGCTGTTTTTCATTCAGTTTACATTAACCTTTCTATATCAACTATCTTTATGATCAGCATGCCCATTTAATGGGCTTTGTAATATATTGGATTTCTATGCTTGAAATACAGCTATGCAATTATTTTGGTAAACTTCTGTTTAAAAAATAAGCTTAACTACCATTGCTTACTGGCAATAATTATACTAGTTTACTAACTAGAAGATATAATGTATACAATATCACTTGGTTTAATGTAAACTTGTGCCACTGTAAATCATGATGGGCATATAAATGAAGTCATTTATCACTTCACTTAAGTATTTGATTCATTCCAGTTACCAAATACAGGAATGTATTTTCTAAGTTTAATAATGGTGGAGCAAATTATCATTTAGTATTTGTTGACAACACATCTCACAATGACCATTTCTCCTCTTCTTGTAGAAGAAGCTAAGGGTCTTTCTCCCCAAGAAATAAAAATGTAAGCATCACTGTACAGCCATTTGTAGAAGTGAATCTCCTTCCATGTTGAAAACTAATATATTACAATTTGATTATATTAAAATATTATTTCCTTGTTATCTGTATTTTAATTTCAGTTTCTTTTTATTTGTCAAACACTTGTACAATTTGCTCCCAAATAATGTGCTAACTTGTTCATTTTCGGACATGCATGCACATTTATCCCAGTATAATTAGTGATTTGAGGATGAGGGAATTAGCTTCAAAACAGTGTCTTTGTGAAATTTGAATAGTGAATACTTTTTTTCTTAGCTTTAACAGCCTCTGGTTGAATATAAATCAAATCTTTGCTTTACAAATATAAATAAGTTTTTCTTTGGTTTAGTTGTTCCATTCAAAGTAAAAAGACAAAGGTATTTGAGACAATCAATATAAATTGTAATATTGTTACTGCTTATTTTTCACACTAATAAATGGAATTAATATTGACTAAGAAAATGCAAATAATCATATCTTAAAAATACAAATTAAATATATATTTAAGATAATAAAAAGGATGTGTTATTTCAGGAAATCTGATTTGAATAATGCTAAAAAAAGGTAACCTGTGAAGATGTTTAACAAGATGTATATACTCTCTATTATTACACTGATTAATAATTTGACTGTAGCAAACAAAATACGACCACAATTGAACTCAAAATTTGTGCTGTTAAGTGAGAAATGTGTTAAGTGAGTTTTGCCCCATTTTATGACCTTTCTTGCCACAGTTATTAAGTGAGTCACTGCAGTCATTAAGTTATTAACACAGTTGTTAAGTGAATCTGGCTTTCCCCTTGACTTTGCTTGTCAGAAGGTTACAAAAGGTGATCATATGACCCTGAGACACTATGACCGTCATAAATATGAGTCAATTTGCCAAGTGTCTGAATTTTAATCATGTATCCACAGGCATACCGCAACAGTTGTAAGTGTGAAAAACAGTCATAAGTCACTTTTTTCAATGCTGCTGTAACTTTGAATGGTCATTAAATTAACTGTTATAAGTTGAAGACTACCTGTGATGTATGGGATATACAAACATAATCAAAATATCCAACCCAAAGCCCAATTTTATCTTCACCATAGTATTCTTAATTTTAATCCTAACTTAAGAGTCTAGTAAGATCATTTTAATCAGTTATGTTCCTCATACAAGATCCAGTTTTCTCACACAAACCACGTATCCAATGAAGTAGCTAGTCAGGTTCATGAAACTTTGGAGAATATAGATAATGTGGATCAATTCCAAATGTATTACTGGGCTGTTTTGGTAATTGCCTTGATCATCCAACTTGTACCATGTGAGTATAACTTTGTTGATCTTCCTGAATCATTACAATCTATGTAGCCATTTAGTAAAGTTGTGAGTTGGGTGCCATCAGTATGCTCACACCATCAATAATAGTATTCTGCTGAAAGGACATCTGTATTAGAGTTGGAGTATGATGCAGTATTCTTCAGTGATCCTATTCCATATTCCAGAATTGGCGTGAGAATGTGACTTCAGCAAACTTCTACCAAGTTATGGTGTCCCAAACGTATCAATTATGCCAATCTTGTTTAATTTCTATACTAATCTATTGAGTGATCTATTTAATTACCTATTAATCAGGGGCTTTGGGATTAGAGACTGCCTGTATGCTAAGGATGCCTAGCACTCCCCCCTACTTTGTAATTCACTACTTTTCTAAAATCTTGTATTAAAGGGGGGTGGGGGTATATTGAACACATGATAATGCTTCAGAAACAATAGTTGTGAATAGATAAAAGGCCAGTTGAACTACCGTAACAAACTGGTAATTGTTAAACATTTTACTATGAGTGGGCTGTGTACTATAAGGAGTATTTGCTTTTTTCTCTAGGTTTGCTTATGTGGCATTAATGCAACAGTAGCTAATCAACGTCAATGAATGTCTCATGAATAAACTCAGTGTTTCTCAGCCTCAGCAACTTTAAGCTGTGTGGACTTCAACTCCCAGAATTCCCCAGCCGGTAAGCTGAAGTCCACACATCTAAGGTTGAGAAACCCTGAATTAAGTGATCTGAGGTAAATCTTATGGCTGAATTTGTCAAAGCTGAAAATCTTGTCGAGCAGAAGGTTGCTGTACAGCACTGTGAGACTGGCAATGGGATTACCAAGCACAGCAAGTTGGAAATCTGGTGTTGGGCTTTGATCCTCTTGAGGGAGAGAGGAAGATCTGCTGCTACCGAATGAAAGATGAATGAAGCCAGTGGCAGAGATACATGAAGGAGAAGAGGGAAGCGGAAAGAAGGCCCGAAGAGGAGAAACTGGCATAAACCTTTAAGAGAAGATACGGAAAGTTTATTAATTAAAGAGTTACAGTTTGAACAACATTGTCCCATAATCCATGGTCCAAGAGAGATGAGGGGAATGGGGGGGGGGGGAGAGAGAGAGACAGAGTCATGCTATTCTCTAAAACACTTGAGGGTAGGACAAGAAGCAATGGGTGAAAAAGGGGAAAAAAATTAAGGTTGAAGAAAGAGTACAGCATTGGGAAAGCATCTACTTTGTGATAATTAAAATTGCTAAAAATTGCTGAGCCCTTATTAATTCTAACATCTGAATAACTAATTGAAATTGGCATTTGGGATAGAAAATGTATGTACTAAGGATGACAGACATGTTGTGAATTTATTCTCCTGTTCTGAAGCTTAATGTGGAAATAATACGTTTGTTCAAGCATCTGTAAATGATATTTCTGGGCAAGAGTTGACCAAGTGTTTTGGATCCATTATTGGTTTATTATTTAAGAAAATGTCAACCAAGTATCTGAACTCAAAACCATTATCTAAGCTAAAGGACATTTTAAAGACAGATCATTAGATACAGTATGTATAAATATAATGCAATGCTTCATATTTGAAAGAGGAAGTGCTTTATAATCAGTTTTCATGAGAACATTGAATTCAAAACATACTCCATTTGAAATTAGAAACTTCATAAGTAATGAAGGTGGTTTCATCACCATTATTATTTAGCTGTATTGAAAATATAGATGACATTTAGCTTTTCAGTACTCCAATTTTCTTGTGTTTTATTCTAATACAGTTTGCTAATTTCCTTTTTATTGTTCCTTTAACTATCCCACAATTATATATTTTTTATTCTTCAGAGCAACATACACTTGTAATCTTAAGGATTGGGTAGTAAAACAAGATTGGTGTAAATGAAGTTGGATCTACTGAAAATGAAAGAAGCTGCTTTAATTTACCTTGACAAGAGTGGTGGTCTTCAGAAATTTGTTAATGACTGCAAATTATATTGTAATGGTATTTACCTAAAATTATTATTAAGCAATCAGAATTATTCATCTGAAAACAATAAATAGGAAATTTTACATTTATTCATTTCTGGCCTTGCAGAATCTAGCCAAGCTTGCGCTGTTTTCCGGTTTCTTATATTGGTAAACCCATCTGATATTACTGAGTTGGATGCTACTCTTGGAAATTATATTTTGCATCAACCTGTGAAGGGTACCCAGATTTTTCAATCAGTAAGGAATATTTTACATTTTGATCAAATATTCTATGAGTATTCTGAACCATAATTTTCTCATAAATTGAACTGAGTTTTGAATTACAGGTATGTTTTACTGCAGCTAAAACATTGTCATTAATTCAACAAATAGAGACTGAAGCTCAGGTGAGTTTTCACCATTATTTCAATCCTATTTTTTCTAAAATAGTGGCAATAATTTGTAATTTAATTACATCATGCTAGCATATGACAAAGATTTGTTATTGTTTTAATTACCTAGCTTTTTACTCTCATATTTATTTTTTCCTCTCTGGTGTAATGTTTTTTCTGAAATATAATTCTTAAGGCAAAATGCATTTATTGTAAATTTATTTATGGTAACATTAGAAAAAAAAGAAAAAAAATAGAGAATATATCCATATGCCTACAAACTTTCATTCACACTGACAGTTCTTGTTGTGTAATAACTTTTAACATTAATAGCAAAAGTAGCTTTCTATGTGTCATCATCATCAGTCACAGACATGTTCCCAGTCTATGATCAGTACTGAAACACTGTATGTAACTGGATATTTTGCCTGCAGGTTTATTTGTTTATATCTCAGAAATAAAATTACCAAAAAAAGATGTGGAACTAAACTGATCTAAACTGATTTAAAACTGAAAGTTTTAAAGTTTATACAAATAACCTACATTTTAAAGAACCTTTATTTATATAATGTACCTGTCAACTAAAATAGTTAACTAGATGATATACTGTGGTAGATGACATGGGATTCATCTTGTATTACTGAAAAAAATTGTACTTGCATTAAAAAAGATTGGCATATAAAAATATACAGGATAGTTTGATTTTTAAGCTTGTGGGTGAACTGTATATTCAGTTAACCTTTGGAAGTAGAATGGTTTGATCAATTAATATTTTAAAACACACAGTTTTTTCTATTTGCAAATGACTTGTTAAATGTCTCTTGTGGGTGTTATCTTTTTGTGTCTATGGATCTGATTAATTTTGGAGGAAGCAGACTTTATACTGTATAGTCTCATCTGCTCAGAATTCATGTCACTCTGCTGGACTTCTTGGGCGTATCTAATTGACCATAGCCAGGAGTAATGCAGTGATTTTATTATTTTTCCCCATTTTGATGTTAATTTGGCCACATCCATGTTTTAATTATTTAGCCTTGGCAAGCCATACAACCTAAGCGTGTCACTTCATTCAAAAGCATTACTTACTCCTGCTTCCTTCCTGGAACTTATTTATATAATAATATTATTATAAAAATTTTAATAATGACAATATTTAAATGTCTGTCCTATTTGTAATCAGCCCAATCATTTTTAATTCTCTTTTAGATGAATATAGTCCTGAAACTAACACATTTACCTTCCTTGCCGTGTTACGTTCTCAGTCTTTGCAAATTTCCATTTGATTATACTACTCAGAGGTTTTATGTGGCAGAGGGAATAGTGATTGCAATGAGTATCATAACGAAGTATACACAGGGAGCAAAATTTGTTTGTTCTGAAGAGAAATGTCAGTTTTCTGAAGGTATGCTAGTAAGCTTGAACTCAAATTCTTTCATTTTGAAGCCCAACTTTAAAGTCTATAACTTTGTTTTGGATACTACAGTACATTTGATTTCCCATGTGGATTCAGATGTTAGTCAAGATTATTTTCCTACAGAATATAATAGAAAGCAAGAGGAAGCAGAAAATAATTATTTTCTTCAATATTCATCCAAACACGATTCCCCTTATGTAGAACAGATTCCAAATAAGTTGAACTGTTACAAATTTTAACGTTCAGAATGATTTCTTATATCAAACAATCAGAACCAAGATGTTTTAAAAAACTAAATGCAATTTTGGAAAAATGTTTAAGTATGACATCAAAACATGCTTGTATTTCTACTGCATTGATCCACAGTGTAGAGTTCAATGAATAATTGTGTAGTTACAACTCTCCTCTGAAACAAACTTATTTTTGAAAGTTGAAAAAATGCTTTCTAATTTTGATTGGATTAAAGTTGGAGGAGTGCCTGTTGTCCAATTTACGCTGTCCTAATTTCTCATGGGGATCTATCACCTTTATGCTTATATAAAACAGGTATAGGTATATACACCTTTATAAATAATTTCTGAATGACTGGGAAGGGAGTGACAAGGAATGGGATAGTGTTGGCAATGAAAGTAATTGGGTATCTCAATTTGCATTTATTGTATATGCATTTATCCATATAGCAATAGCGATAGCATTTAGACTTATATACCACTTTACAGAGCTTTACAACCCTCTCTAAATGGTTTAGAGTCAGCATATTGCCCCCAACAATTTGGGTCCTCATTTTACCCACTTTGGAAGGATGGAAGGCTGAGTCAACCTTGAGCCTGGTGAGATTTGAACTGCCAAATTGCAGGCAGCTGGCAAACAGCAGAAGTAGCCTGCAATACTGTACTCTAACCACTGCTCCACCGTGTCTCAGTAAAGCTTTGGGCAAAGTAGGCAATAGCATTCAGGTGTTGTTGAACTACACTTCCCAGGATACTTCACTTTGGCCATGCTTTCTAGAGATGCTGGTAGTTATAGTTCAGCAATACCCAGAATGTCACAGATTGATTCCTCTACCAATTTATTGAGCATATCATTTAGTATATGACTCACAATATAATTCATTATACTGGGTCAGGTGTATTCATAATTATCAGCAGTGAATTCCACATATAAAGTTAAAAAATGATAAAGTGCTTCCTGTTTCTATGAATTAACTTTGGTGGACATAAAATACAGATTGTGGCCAACCGAGGCAAGCATATAAAGATACTATATTAGGGAACTATCTGGCTAGGGTTATAAGGGATGTAAAAGGGATGTCACGTCAGTATGATATGGAAATATCTTGTTAAAGTGCATAGATTTTGAGCAGTTTTCTGCTAAAAAAACAATGAAAAATATTATCTGCTTCTGAATTTTTAGAAAACTGAATTCACTCTTTTGTATGATTCTAGGGTTTCAGTATATAAGAGTACATACTGCTGGAGCCACAGAATCTGCAACACTAAGAAATGATTTTGTATGCAACTTATGTATGTCACCTCTGAAAGAAGACAAGAAATATCGAGTACTTGGTGGTAAAAACTAAATAGTTCTGTTATTAATTCAATATGATACAATTTAAAGGGATCCATACCACTGGTAAATAAGTGGGGTGGCTACTGGACAACATAGAGAAATAGGAGAATACACAGATGTGAACTAGGTTTAGAAAAGTACATGAATGGCAAAGTGTGTGTACATCAGTAAAATAGATACAAGTGGATTTAAAAAAAATAAATCGATTAAACTTTTTTTGGGACCAATTCAACAAATAGATTTATCTGAAACAAAAATTGTGTATTTGCATGTTTTATATATATATATATATATATTTCTTTTTAAGATAAACAAATGGTTGAAATGATTGATGCTAAAGCAGTTAGTGTGTTTCAGGGATTTTCTGGAAGTAAAACACATTCAAGATTTCAATCATTTACGGTGTTTCTAAGAGGTAAGACTTTGTTGGCTTTAAGCGTTTGTACTGTTTTTCACGGCAAAGCCTTCCCAAAATAGCCAGTAGAAGATACATATATACATAATGGGGACATTATATTTCCAAATATTTTACAAGCATATAAACACCCAAAGATTATCCTCTTTTTTTCTATCCATCTGTGTTATGCTCCTAAGACTTTCCGAACTCCTACTCTTCCCACCCAGTCAACTCCTTCCTTGGATAAACTGACACATCCCTATGAAATTCTACTGTTATGATGGAAAGACTTCAGCATCTCGGCATCATTCCCTTTTAGAAAAGACTTTTAGACTATCCTTACTGTTTTCCAGAATTCTTCACATTTGCTTAATAGGGTACAATTCACAAGTCAGAAATCTGAATTTAAATCCAGGAACTTCTTTTCAACATTTGGTTTCAGTATTTTCAACAATGTTATTTGCTAAATTCCTGGGAAAGATGCTTCTCCCATCAATTATAATTACATACTTTAAAATTGTTATATGAATGAAAAGTGAGGCATAATTACATATTTTACTTTTGAAAATATTCAACAAGGATTTGATTAGAAGGGGGAAAGACATTCTACTTTTTAGTGTATTTGTCTTGGAAATAAAATATAAATGTTATGATGTGATTATTTTAAATTTATTTTTTGTATAAGACATTAATGAAGAAGTAATAAAAATAAAATCCAAGATTTCAATTAAATAAAGACAGCTGCTTTAATTCCTGCAGCAGTATCCTCTCCACCCTAGCTTGTATAAGCCCTCAAGTTTGAGTGGTAAATATTGAGGTATGAATCTTAATTACCCTGACTTAGAGTACTTTCTCATGGCTGTTATTGTGTATTGTTTCTGCTGTTGAATTGGCAGAAAAGTTAACGTTAATTGTACTGCCCTTCAAATGAATTTTATTGTGCTTTAGCAATGTATGCTAAAGCACAGTATGGTGTTCTGGTTGCAGAGTTCCTGCAGAAAAATCTCAGGACAGTAACTGATGTACTCTTGTGCTTTCTTTCTGATCCTGGTCACCAATTACTTTTTGTAACATGTAACAGAGCAGGGCTAGGAGACTAACAACATATAGACATTATGTTGGGGTGCAAGAGCAAATGTATAATTAGCTTCTGTAGAATACACCTGTACAGCAGATTTTTCTGGGAATGGGACTATCTGCTGGCAGACCAACACTGAATTTGTCAGTTGGAAAGGTATGAGGGTTGCATTAGTATTATAGAACAATGGAAGAAATCAGCTATGGAGATCAATTGTCCTAGGGCAAACATTAAAATCCAGTTGATAGGACTATTATATACAAGTTATAGGAATTCTGCAGCACAAGCCAAACTGAATGTAGAAGTCTATGCTTGGTGAGAAGCCAGGAGATTGGCAGTCCTTTAAAAAAAAAAGATGTTACCAGTATTACAATAATCATTAGCATTCCAAGGTATCAATATTCCTTTTCAAAACAAATAAAAAGAATTATGAAAGCCACATGTCTAGTGTCGCATTACTCAAGCCAAAATGCAATATAGGTCAGTACCTAATGGCTAGATGGAAGGATGTGTGTTCAAGAAATGATCAAAAAGATCTCATTAGATTCCTGGCCTGAATTCATCATTGCCACCCTCATTAAGACACTGGATTTTGTAATATTTGTATTATTATTCCTGAAATATATCTATCAGTATTCAACTAAGGGGGAACAATGTATGTGTATGTTGCTTTTTTGCACACTTTTTGCCTCAATTGCTGCTTTGATAGTTGTTTTCCTTTTTTCCTGTTGAATTCATATTTTAACTTTGGAAATAATATAAAAAATATTTTAAAAAGTAGTTCTTAAGATATCTACATTGTTAAAGGGATATGAATATGAGTCATAGAATTATTGTGCCCAATAGAAAACCCTCACCTGCCTATTTGTATTTTTCCCAGATGAATTATCCAATGAAATGAAAATGGGAAATCAATGTAAAGTTATAGGAATTCCTATCTGTATGCAAAGCTGCTTACAAGCCACAATTTGTCTTGAAGCTAACAGTGTATATCCTTCTAATTCTACAGGTAGGACAAGAGGCTAGTGAAAATAGACAATAAATATATATTTGTTCCAATAGGCAACTGAAATGCATCTCTTTTTTTTCATCCCAATTTTCTTCTTCAGCAGTTCTCAAATGTGATCTAGGGACTTCTGAAGGTCCCTGGATCCCTTTCAGGGAGACAAATATATAAATATTTTAAAATTTCTCTTTTAATTTCTAATACAGTAAATGCTGATACATATAACCCACCTATTTGGGGTTTATAAACATTTTTAAGACTGGTACTAAAACTAAAATATTTAAGAATCACTGCTTTATTTAATATATTTGCTGTGAAAAAAATGTCTTTTAATTTTCAGCACATTCATTCTCTATAAGAGAGGCAGGGAGAGTAATCCCTGGTGAGCTCAGGAGCCAAAAGTTCCTGAGAAAGAATAACAATGTGGAGAAAGCATGCAAAGCATGGCTGCTAGAATTCTTTTCATCTCTTTAGTAATAACTCTCTTCTGGGTCAGCTAAAAGTGACATTGATTTCATGGTACCTAATCCTTCCATCCTGGATCATGTAGGCAGCAGGAGGGAGGGGCTATGGAATGACAACAGATGGCAACATTCTGAGACATTGCTCAACTGCCCTTCCAGTAGAGATGCCCTGGGATTTTTTACTCAGTAAACCCAGAGCGGAATGGGATAACTTGCCACAGCCAATTCACCGCGTTGCCAACTCGACGAGGGAGAACTCACCACCATGGAACAATTTAACAATTCAATTATTTAAAATAAATAAAAAAATATTTTAAATTTTGTCATTCACATTTCATTTTTTCTTCCACCTTTTACGTACTTTCTTTAATGATTCTATTGCACCATATCTTTGATATTAGTGTAACTCTTGTCCCATGGTGAGTTGTGGTGAGTTGGCCATGGCAAATTGTCATAGACCACCCCCCCTTGAGTCTGATCTATTTTTAAGCTTGGGTTTTTCTTTTGTCAGGTTTTTCCCTAAACAAAATTTGACTCTATTCTGTTCAGTTTGCTTGTTGCAAAATTAATTTTAATTGGATTGGAAAGAATAAATAATGACTATATAACAATATTGATCTCTTCTTGTTTGTACTGGAGGAGATATTAACATGCATTTTAATTTCAGAATCATGTATCCCTATTCCTAATCTTCAAAAACAAATAGACAATTATATCTAAATCTTTTTCTGCTCTAATTTTGTTAGCCTAGCTAATTAATATTCATCTTGTCTTCCCTGAAATTGAAATCTTGTAGGTCCACTCCTCTTTTCTTACTAGAATTCAAGAATTTTATTTCCCTTTTGAACTAAATTTTGGAACCTGGTATTCCTTTAGTGCTATTTCTTTATATTGTTTCCTGATGTACATACAATGAATTGAACCCAGAGTTGTGTTCTACTTGTAGTAGTAGTTTCACTTATCTTACCTTTACCAACCATCAAATTTCATTCTTGGAGACTTTAAAGTATTTATCTTGCTTTTGTTTTATATCAGGGCCTTCTTGTATCAGTGAAAAATTTAAGTACCTGCTTTCTTTGACTTCAAATTCATGTTGGAAATTTACAGCACTTCTGGCTGATAGCTTTGCTTCAAAAGTTCTACCATCTGGCATTTATAATATTCTGAAATTGTCCATAATGTTGAGCTTAGTACAGACTATTGATGGAGATGACAGAACAGCAGACTACTTAGATCTTCTGGTAATAACAAATGATTCTCTTATACTGGAGAGGTAATTATTCTTTTTCTTATGGAGATGTTATTATTAGCTTTCCCCAGTAGGAAAGTTCTCTCTCTCTCTCTCTCTCACACACACATTTAATTTAGCAACCTGTTTTATTGTATCAATAATTGATGTTGTAATCTTAAATATGCATATAACCTCCTTTTCTGCATATATATTCAACTGAAATTCAATGCCATGTTGAATTATATATTTACATTTATTTATCTAAAATACTGCAATTTCATTAGTTAATTATCTATTTTCCCTAATCATCTAGAATTATGAATTATAGTATATGTCTTGTGCCTCGAGGCATTCGGCATTTTCCATCTGGTGAAGTTTTTCCAACTGTATCAAAAGATAAACATGGGACCGGAAGTGCTATTATTCAGGCCGGTAGTGCTTTAATGGCTAAAAATGGAATATGCTTCATTGGAGAGCTGACTTCATATAAGAAAGAGAAACTTGAACAATTACAAGCAGGTACAGCAATGAGCAAGTATTTGTAAGACCAAAGGTACTTTAAATATTTCTGCTAGATTGCCTTACAGCTTTGAAATCTCAGAGAAATTCTTTTAATCACTACATATTTCTATACCAGTCAATTTTAAGACCGTGCAATCAATATTTTTCTATTACAAAGTTGTATGTAAAATTTCTTAGGAATATAATGCTGTACATTCATTCCACTAAATTCTGGTTGACAGTTGCAAGAATGCACATAAGTCTTCATAGAGCTAAGATTGCCTCCTTGCAGCACTCCTAAAAATAGGGCAATCTGATTTATACCAATTTTTCAATCTGAAATACTAGGACAGTGATGGCTAACCTTTTTGTTGTTGCGTGCTGAAAGCGTGCATGCACCCACCCCCACAATTCAATGCATGTGACCCCTAGTGCACCCTCCCGTGCATGCGCCCCACCCCCACATTTTGGGCCTGCAAGGCCTCCTGCACCAACCTGGAAGCCAAACTGAGGCATGAGGGTACTGCGCGAGCCCCCCAAATACAATGTAAGCGCTCTGTACATGCACATCTCCTGCATGCA